TTAATGATTCTATGATTCTATGATCTAAACGACATGAATTTAAAGTTAATGGGACTCAGGTTCTCTCTTTCTATTTTTGTTTTTGTTCTTTGTTTTGCTGAAGGATTCTAAAGCATTAGTGTCAAAGGAGAAAGAAGTAAAGAAGGTAGAGAAAGAACTAAGTGCTTTGCAGGAAGCAAGTCAAAAAGATGCAGGTGCTTTAGCTGCAGCACAACAGCATTTTAATGCTGTGTCTGCTGGTTTGTCCAGCAATGATGATGGGGAAGAAGCTACTCTTGCTGGGCAGATGATGACCTGCAAAAATGAAATCAGCAAAGCAGTAACAGAGGCTAAACAGGTAAGAATAAAAGCTTTACTTGTATCAGACCAGCCTTCCTACTTCTTTTGAAAATTGTCTGAAAAACAAGTGACACTCTTGAAAGGTCAGTGAAAAGATTTGCAGAGTATCTATGCAAGATATTTTACGAGTTGGCATATGCATTAAGGTGACTTTTTGATAAAACAGGTAATTATAAAAAAAAAATTCCTTGCATAAATACAGACAAATAGGGAAAAGCTATAACATTGTTGTGAGGAAGTATAGAAACTAGCATTTGAGCCATAAAGTAGGACTCACAGTACTCAAATGACTGACGGTCTTGAACAGGAAGAGATTAAGACTGCTGTCCATGTTACGCATTGATACTATAGAGATTTCTACAGTAAAACTTAATGGAATCAAAACAAAGATGCCTTAGACTGAGAATGGAGAGTTCAGAAGAAACTGTTTTCTCCTCAGTTAAATTGTGTGCTAGTCACACAACTGAAACAGACGCCACTTCTTTTGTCTTAAGGTAGGAAACCTCTGCTGGGGTAATTCTCATGGTGGAATTTAAATTTTCAAAGTTGAAAGTGCACCTTGCTTGTCTCGCTTAAGGAAAACCTTTTTTGGGGAAAATAACAAGGACAGCTGAGTCCCACATTATTTTACCTTTGTTTCTTCTCGGACTCCATTCATGTACTAATATGAGTTACTGTATCCAAATACATGATTTATGTTTTTATTTCCAAATCGCCCGTGCCCTTATTTTCAAAAGACAAGGCTGCTTTTTAGCATTTCTGCAACCAGTGGAAACTTTTACAAATTGTGTGAGCACCTTGTTAGTGTAAGTGTTCTAAATCTGCACCTGCAAGATTTTCTTTGAAGATCTTCTGGTTCCATATTTTCTTACTCCTTACAGGCTCAAATGAAGTTGAATTACGCACAACAAGAATTAAAGACAAAACAAGCTGAAGTTAAAAAGATGGATGGAGGCTACAAGAAAGACCAAGAAGCACTTGAAGCTGTCAGAAAAACAAAAATAAAACTAGAGAACCAAATGAAGAAGCTGAACTATGAAGGTCTGTGCAGACTTCTGGTGCATAATTTTGGGCAATCTGAAAAGGAACATAGAAGTGTCGTGGGTTGACCATGGCTGGAGACCCCAGGTGTCCACCAAGCCGCTCCATCACTCCCCTCCTCAACTGGACAGAGGAGAGAAAATATGATGACAGGCTTGTGGGTCGAGATAAGGACAGGGGGATCACTCAGCAGGTACTGTTCCAGGCAAACCAGCCTCAACTTGGGAAAATTAATTTAATTTATTACCAATCAAATCAGAGTAGGATAACGAGAAATAGCAACAAACCTTAAAAGCCTTCCCCCCACCCCTCCCTTCTTCCCGGGCTCAACTTCATTCCTGATTTTCTCTACCTCCTCCCCAGCAGCAGCGCAGGGGGACGGGGAATAGGGGTTGCGGTCAGTTCATTATGCATTGCCTCTGCCACTCCCTTCTCACACTCTTCCCCTGCTCCAGCGTGGGGTCCCACCCACAGGAGACAGTTCTTCACGAACTGCTCCAGCGTGGGTCCCTTCCACAGGGTGCAGTCCTTCAGGAACAGACTGCTCCAGCGTGGGTCCCCCACGGGGTCACAAGTCCTGCCAAGAGCCTGCTCCAGTGCGGGCTCTCCATGGAGTCACAGCCTCCTTCAGGCACATCCACCTGCTCTGGTGTGGGGTCCTCCATGGGCTGCAGGTGGATACTGCTCCACCACAGACCTCCTTAGGCTGCAGCGGCACAGCCTGCCTCACCATGGTCTTCACCATGGGCTGCAGGGGAATCTCTGCTCTGGCGCCTGCAGCACCTCCTCCCGCTCCTTCTTCATTGACCTTGGTGTCTGCAGAGTTGTCTCTCACACATATTCTCACTCCTCTCCCAGCTGCTGTTGTGCAGCATTTTTTACCCCTCCTATAAGTTATCATAGAGGCACTACCAACATCACTGATGGGCTTGGTCTTGGCCAGCAGCAGGTCCGTCTTGGAGCCAGTTGGAACTGGGTCTGTTGGACACAGAAGCAAAGAGAAACAAAAAGATTTACTCTCTGCTTCCCATCAGCCACTTCCTGGGAAGTAGGGCCTCAGTACGTGTAGTGTCCCCTCCCCTCCTCCTTTCTCTTAGCTTTTATTGCTGAGCACGACTTCATGTGGTATGGAATATGGCTTAGGTCAGCTGTCCTGGCTATGTCCCCTCCCAACTTCTTGCCCACACCCAGCCTACCGGCCTTTGCAGGACAGGTTGGAGAGACAGCCTTGATGCTGTGCCAGCACTGCTCAGCAGTAGCCAGAACACCGGTGTGTTATCAACACCGTTCTACTAGAAATACAAAGCACAGCACCATGAAGGCTGCTATGGGGAAAGTTAGCTCCATCCCAGCCAGACCCAATACAAGAAGGAACTGAAAAATCCAGTATGCTTGGTTTGTGCTTTTGTGCACAAAGAAATTTCTCTGGTCAAAGCTCTGCAAGCTCTTCTCTTTCACAGAAAATAGTTTAAAATAATTTGATTTTATAAACCTTAGGCCAAATCTTTTAAAGTTTGATGGAAAATTTAATTTCCATCTAAAATTTAGATGGAAAAAGTGACCAACCTCCCTATTCCTTTCTGGTTTTCCCTACCTAAAACACTTCTTAAAGTTTGTTTCATTCCAGGTAACATTTGTTGCAGAAGCTACTCAAAACTGTAAATTGATATTCCAGAATGACATTCAGAGAAGCACATTAGACTTTAAATTCTTTCTTTGCGTGTTTGGTATTGTGATGGTGTTAATTTGTATAAACTGGAAATTTACAAAGAATTTTAGAAAGTCTTTCAGTTAAGTATTCTCTACATATATGTAGATAAATAGCGTAGCATACCAATTTTTAAGCTAATAGATTTCTATGCTCTGGGTGTTTGTCTACTGCTTGTGTTCAACTCCTAAGAAGAGAAAGAAGAAGCCCTTTTAGCGAAAAAGAAGGCATTGACTCGTGACATCAGCCGACTGAGAGAATTGTTTGAAGGCTTAATGGCAAAGTTTCCCCATCTACAGTTTGAATACAAGTAAGACCTGTGTGATCCTAAAAGACATTTGAAAGTGCTTTTTGGGGCATTTTATCCCATGGCTTATGGCTTATGGAACTTAGGGGAGTTGTGAGAGTATGATCTCATCAATTGCTTAGCTGTTGCTTTCTTTTTAGTGCCAGCAAACAATGACTATCTTACCTGCCATGCAAGTGAAGGGGGGAACGGGGGGGAAGTCAAGAAATGTTAACTGAATTAATGGGCAGCAGGGAAAGTGGTACAGTCATTATTAAATGACAGCCTTATCAAAATCACGGGAATTTTAAAGTTTTGTATGATGGTGTTTGCAAGCCATAACTCAACTTCAGTAGCTAAAACCATAGAATCCAAAGGTCTAAACTGCAAAAATATGTAATCATTACTTTTCAGAGTCCTGCCTGAGGACTATGAATAGACTTGCTCTGTGGAGGTCAACATTTTATCTGTCTCCACCAATCAAACACATGTATCCCCAGATTCATTGGCTTGTGTAATAATCGGTCTGAACATATTCCTATAGCTGTGCTAATAACAGGACCCATAGTAAAAATCAACTGAAAATTGCATGAACAAATTATACCAAAATCAGGAAGAACATTCTTCTAATGACTTTGTAACTGACTATTGGGAAGTCTCTTGCCCTGAAGTATTTAATTTAACCATTTTCTGTGGTTTTTTTCCTGATAGAATTTAGTACTACTTATACCAATGTAATAAGCAGTGTGAGTTTTTAAATATAAATTTTTTAAGATGTGTGGGAGAGAAACAAACATGATTATTATAATTTAAATTTATTTTAAGACATCCAGAAAAAAATTGGAATCCAAACCATGTGAAAGGCCCTGTTGTGTCTCTCATCACTGTGAAAGATCTGTCCAAAGCAAAAGCCCTAGAAGCGGTGGCTGGAGGGAAACTCTATAACATTATTGTGGACACGGAGGTATGTTTATTATTTTAATACAGAACTCTGAATGTTGAGATGAGGTCATGTGATTCAGGGTGCATGTGTATTGTTACTGAATGCTTAAGAGGTGGTTTGGACCCATATACAATTTTAAATTAGGTCAAGAGAGTCATGCATAGTTACTGGCAAAAATATATTCCACTTGCAATGTGCTATTGTCTTACTTTACAAAATCAGTTATGTATTCAGGTATGCTTTGTAACTCTTCTCATTTGAGGTTACTGGCAAAAAGCTTTTGGAAAAGGGTGAACTAAAGCGTCGATACACCATCATTCCACTAAACAAAATTTCAGCCAGGTGTGTTGGACAAGACACGATCAAGTTGGCCCAAACCTTGGTATGTAAATAAATACACCATTTACACTATTTTGCTTGTGTACCGTTTTCATTTTGTTTCTTTGCTAAAAACATGGGCTTCTTAATGGCTATACTAGTAAGAATTTCTATAGGGTTTGAGGGTATCTTGGTTTTATTTTTTTCCTTTATATCCTTTCAGCTATGCAATGATTAAATTGATATTAATTATTCCACTTTTAACTGAAATTGTTTTAAAACGTGATGATGTTTTTAGAAAATGTTTTTCTCAAGAGAAAACAAATTAGATTTGAAAATTCTTATAACTTAAGGCATACTAATTGCATTTCATTTGATTTCTAGGCTGGTCGTGATAACTTGCATTTAGCCCTTTTTCTAGTTGGATATGAATCTGAACTGCAGAAAGCAATGGAATATGTCTTTGGAACGACACTGGTCTGTAATAATATGGATAATGCTAAGAAAGTGACCTTTGACAAAAGGATAATGACGAGAAGTGTTACACTTGATGGAGATATGTTTGACCCTCAGGGCACTCTGCATGGAGGCAATTGCTGGTTTTATTCATAATAATACTGTGTGTCTGTTGATTTGTTTACTGCTCTGCATGTTTTTTATAAAAAATGAACAGTAACCTTTTTGTTTAGACCCGTACTGGGGATAATATGATCTGTTTGCGCAAAGATTTGTCACTCTTGAGCTGAAAGAAGATTGATTAGACTAAGAAAAAACTATTTGCATAAAGTGGTTTAGATTTTAAATACTTAAATCTTATTTGGCTATATAGTCCTCTTGGAGGGAGAAATGCTTTGAATTCAAACACTTTTTGAAGTAATTAATGATTAATTTGAGGTAATTTCATAAATAATGAAAAGTTAGTTGATTTCATAAGAAATGCATGTGTAGTATTCAAGGTCTGTAGAACTAAATTCTGTAACAGAGGAGGTAGTCTTTTTCCACTGAGAACTACTGCAACTTTAGCCTAGCTACCTTTCTGTTTTGTAACTAAACCAAATCATCATCCTGCATCATGATTAACATTTAGAATTTGCTGTTTGCCAGTGGTGAATCCACTAGTCTAATTCCAATTAGCTTGACTTTGCTTTTTTTTTCACTGAACAGGTGCGTGCTCACAGGCTGCACCAATATTGTCTAAACTTCAAGAAATGAAAAACGTTGAAGTAGAACTCAAGACAAAGGAGTCTGAACTTGAGACTGTAGAGAATGAGCTGGCAAGCTTGAAGATTGTTGCTGAAAAGTAAGGTTTGCCCTATAAAATGTCTATCGTTTCTCTTATGTGACTGAGTAAATGTAATATAAAGAAGTATTTTTGGAGGGCATAGGGCCAGTTGGTAATGTAATATGCAGACGATTATTCCCTTCCTCCCTCCTCCTTCTCCCCCCCAATTTAATTTGTAAGTACAGCAATCAGCAAGCAGATTTAATTTTTAGATAACACATGCAAGAAAACTTCATTTTGGGTAATACAGGAAAAAAAAAGGCATACAATGATGTATACTTGAAATCACTTGAAGTTTTCCAAAGTTTCATGAAGTCCACTGAAGAATGGATCTGTTCCAGTGATATTTTGTAACACCCATACAGAATTTCAGTTTGTGATAGCTCTTATTTTTCTCCCAAGAAAATATGAAGGTACTAAAGGGGAATATCTGAGTGATACTGCTGTAAGGATTTAAATTTAAATAATTTTAAGTATATTTGATTTTCAGCTACTCAATTACTGAAGATCTTTTTAAAAGATGGAATATAAAAACATGTTTAGTCAGTTCTGTAAAAATCCCATAAGGGGGTAGTGTTGTGTAATATGCTATATACCAGCTGGATTTATTTTTCAAATTATTTTGAGTTTTAATAGATTTCCAGAAATATGACCAAGAGGAAGAAATGAGTTTTTCTTTTAGATATTTTTTTCTTTAATGCTTCAGCGTAGCATCTGTCATGCTGCTGTTTGGAAAAACATGAGCTCTGAATTGTAGCCAGATTCCATGTGTTGCATTTGTTTGTTTTTAACATACCTTGTCGGGGATACATAACCAGGAGTTACATATATAATAAATTACATATCTACAAACTTCACAATTGCTATTAAAGAAATTATATCAGACTTTCATGCATTTAAGTTTATTTGTCCTATAGTCATCATTGTATCTCACATTAGAATAGGAATGTAAGTATTCCTTTATCTACTTATTTCTACTTTGAAACTGAAGTGCCGGGTACCCCTCATTATAGCAGTGTTATATCATTACTGTCTTCAAAGGTACCGGCAACTGAAGCAGCAGTGGGAGATGAAGTCTGAGGAAGCAGAGCTGTTGCAAACAAAGCTACAACAAAGTGCTTATCACAAACAAGAGGAAGAGCTGCTTGCCCTGAAGAAAACCATTGGTGACAAATCTGTTCTTAATCTTTTAGATGAAAACTATTTGCTGAGAATGAGATGGATATTTGGCTGTTTGAGTAGCAGAATCTTTGCTTAAGAAAAAAATGTTTTTCGCTTTGAAAATACTCGCTTTATATTTTGGTATATGTAACAAACACAGAATCACAACAGACTTGCATAGAGGTGATTCACATAAGGTTGGTCATTCTCTTGAAGTAAAGGTTATACTATTATTAAGTGTTTTATATACTTTATAATAAAAGGAAAAATGGCTTTGCAGGGAATTTTTAAAATTGATTTAATCCCATATTTGAGTAATCTTTGTTTTTTCCAAGCCATCTGTTTCTGTAGATATTTAAGGTTAGCAATAAAATATTTTGCATAACAAGAAAACATTGGAAAGAAGTACTGTTTGTATAGCTAAGGAAAAATGTAAAAGGAAGCAAATGCAGCAATAAGTAAAACATAAAGAAAAAAGATGGACAGAAGTGATACATACATAGACATAGTATTCTAGGGATGAGGTGATATCTTATTAGGAAGCCATTTGATTAATTGCTTCTTGATCATGTGATTTGGCATATACTGTCAAAAAAAGAAAAAAGGATTATTTTCATTAATTTTAATGACTGGTTTTCTCTTTGGTGCCCTACCAATAACTGGTAACAACAGCACACTGTCTTAGGTAATCATTGATATAGCTGCCTTCAGTAAGTAGCAAACGTACAACCACTTTGTTCTGTTAGAGGCAAAGACAGATTTATTTCAGTTGGCGTTCAGGATGTAAATTTAAAGATAAGAACAATGCCCAATCTCAGTACTGTACTTCTTGATTCAGCGGACTGTGAAGAGACGTTAAAGAAAACTGAAGAGAGCCAAAAGAAAGCAGAAGATAAATACAAGGTGTTAGAGAATAAAATGAAAAATGCAGAAGCAGAATGTGAAAAAGAACTAAAAAATGCCCAGGAGAAACTAGATAGTGCCAAGAAAAAGTCAGACGCTTCAAGCAAGAAAATGAAAGAAAAACAGCAGGTAAAACTTAACCTTTGTTGGCAATTTTCTCAATGTCAAAAGTGGTTGCAGTCATCAGAAAGTTTGATTCTCCTGAAGCTTCAATACTGTCAGTTTTGGAACTTAATATATTACTCTGTAGTCACTGATGTAGAAATTGCTGATGCTTTTTTTTTTTTTTTTTTTGTGGGATTGCCCCCTTACTGAAGAATGGGTACTGTTAGTCTTCTACAGCATTTACTATGTCAAACTGAATCTTAATTCTTTCCATTTAAGTAATAAATTTGAAAACATTTCTCTAGGAAGTTGAAGCTTTAGTTCTGGAACATGAAGAGCTAAAACGAGAACAGGTCTCCTATAAACAACAGCTAGCGGCTGCAGATAAAGCAATCAAATTCTACCAGGAGCAAGTTAATGCTATGGCAGCTGAGGTGTCTAAGACAAAGGTAAAAGTGAATACTGTGTTTCATTATCAGTGTTGACATTACTGAAGATACGATCCCCTAAAGCACAAATTATACTGTGTATTTTGTTGTTCGGATTTTCTTGCCAGCACTCAATTATGTTTAGTCTAGGTAGTTATTTTCTGGCTTCGTTACCACATGTGAATTTTTTCTCCTTCTTTGCTGTGTCCTTCTCTTCTAACAACTGTCTAACATGAGCCTTTAAAAGAAGCTAATAAATGGCTGTTTGATTTGCTTTTCAGGAATCTGTAGAGAAATCACAGAAGGAGCTGGCCAAGCAAAAGGAAGTAATTGTATTACAGGATAAAGCAATTAAAGCCAAATCTGCAGAGATAGTAAAATACAGAGAACAAAATAATGAATTACAGCTTAAGGTTAAAGCATTAGAACACAACATCAGCAAACATCAACAAGAGACTGCTGATGCTGCTGCCAAGGTATTTCAGAACTGTGCTTTTCCTTGCATCTTGTGACCAAGAGTTGTTATTTCCCTTGCCACATGCAAAGGAAATAGCCTTTTTTCTTAATAAGCACTGTCATATTTGCAGCTCTTGATGTGAAAAGTTTTATCCCAGAAGGAGGGGGTGGAAATTGTAAATTGTAACAGAGCTTATCAGTATGGACTAATAGAGAGTAGATCACAGTGAGAAGGTGATCAATGAGAAGAACATTCTTGTTGCGTGGACAGATTGGGTAACTAATTAAAGAAGCTCATCCAGAGATTTAGTGACAATGGGTTAGTCCAGATGTAGAAAAACCTGATCCAAGTAAACGTGATGGGTATATGTGAAAGCTCCCTTAAAATCTTGGTTAATCTACAGTCTTGGAAATCACATGCAGCATTGTAAAGGTATGCACCTGTGCTGCGCTGGGATAGAAAAATTAATGTTGTAGACTAACTTCAGGATGCTGGAGGGTTTTGTTTTTTGTTTTTTTTTTTTTAGATTAATTTTCATTCACATTTGAGAAGGGGAAAAAAAAAAGCCTCAACATATCTTCTTGTATACAGGTGAACAAAATGCTGAAAGAGTATGGGTGGATAGCTTCAGAGAAACCACTTTTTGGTCAGCCAAACACAGCCTATGACTTCAAAACTAACAATCCTAAAGAAGCAGGTCAGAAGCTGCAGAAATTGCAGGAGAAAAAAGAGAAGTTGGGGAGGAACGTGAACATGAGAGCTATGAATATGCTTTCTGAGACAGAGGAGAGGGTAAACATTCTGTGCTTTAACTTTTAAAGATTGGGCAGGTGGGGTATATGGTATTATGTATAATGTAGCTTTGTATTTTCGTATGCTCTACCTCTGAATACACCAAAAATAAAACTAAATCTTCATGAGATAGCTGGAAACCTTTTGCTAGATCTTTTATACTAATCTTGCATTTTTTAACTGTTCACTTTTGCACTAGTTTTCTAGGTTATGCATAATCTTGACTTTGGATGGTAAAAAGAATAATTTCATTCCTCCCTACCTCAGTCCATCCTAAGTTGGCAGCAGCAGCATTAGGCAAGCTTTTGTATCCTTTACAGTATCTGAGAATACGTACTTTATCAAAGGTTGCAGATCAAAAAACTGTTCATCTTCAAGCATGATAGCGTGTCTGGAATTCATCTCTATCTTGAGGCTATTCCAGGATTGTCTCAAAACTGTCCACTGACTGACACTTCAACCTTTCTAGTACTGTTTCATTATTAGAATTGGCCTGTTCTTCATATCAGCCTCCAGAAACATCCTTTCTCCTATGGAAAGGCAAATGAAACATGATTAACTCGAAAATTGTTGAAAATTCTACTGCTTTAATTTGCAAATAATGTCCTAATACTTAAATCCTGCATACAGCTAAATGAATGCTTTGGATTTCAATCTTGTGGTTAATGGCTATTTCATAGTTACAAAAACGATAAACAGTGAAACTGTAAGATTAGCACAAGATGTATTTGAGCACAAAATTCATTGAAATCAATCTTTTCTTCTCATTGCACCAGTACAATGACTTAATGAAGAAAAAAAGAATTGTAGAGAATGACAAGTCAAAAATTCTTGCAACTATTGAAGAGCTTGACCAGAAGAAAACTGAAGCTTTAAATATTGCTTGGAAAAAGGTATGACACTTGAAATCTAATCTTCACTTTTTAGCAGAGGATCATATTTGTCTTAGATTACTGTTTTGCATATTTCCATGGAAAAAAAAATGATGTCTCTTTCCAGAACAAATCTCCCTTGCCTAGTGTTTAAATTGCAAAACAACCACTTCATTTCCCCTGTTTCATCTCACTTTTGAGAATAAGATAGGAATTCTTTGAGAATTACAAAGATTCAGTTAAACCTGCAAAACTGCTTTACCATTCCCTTTTAGTGCCCACAAAAATTTAAGGAAGGTTAAGCTACTGGCATGCTGAAACCATTCTCTCTCACATGGAAGTTGGACAAAACAGTGATACAGTTTATTTTTCTTTTTGTTTGCTTAAACCTGTATTTGACCAGAGTTAAAATCTTCTGGTTCTGTGTAGCTCCATACAATATGGAGCTGTGGACCTGGGCTACTGTTGCTGTCACTGACAGGATACGTAATACTGGAATAGAGAAACAGCTGATTTATGTTTCTGTTATCTGAGCACTCTGCCTTCTTACTAGTTCTCTCATATCATGAACTATAACAAAAATATAAAATTTTCCCTTCTCCTTTCAACATGGAAAGCTCTCGACACATTCTTTTCTGCTGTACCAGGAGAGCTTGTACTTTTTGGCCTTTGAGAAGATTGGTTATATCTAAGATGAAATTGCTCACAAATGAAGTATCGGTTTTAGTTATTACTGCCCGTACTCAAGACATCACTGACAAAATGGGACCTTTTTATTGTAAAATCTTGTTTGGCAAAAATTAGTGAATTGTATTTAAAAGCATCATGGGTGGTGGAATACATTCCTTGACCTAGGAAATTTTAATCTACATTTACAAAGTTGCATCCCATCCAACACCTGGACATTGCTTAAGTAATCCTGGGAAGAAAAGGAGCGGGGAGGATGCCAGTGTGTGCCTCTTACAAGGTGCTTATACTTTTAATAGTCCTTCAATTGGGAGAAATCACAATTTACCAGCTAATAAATCTGAAGTAGGGTATAACCATTTCCCTGGCTGATAGCGTAAAGAAGCCTTCCAATATTTCTTTCATTTGCTCCTTCTGAAATGCTTAGTATAAGGTGTTCTATATATATCTACATGTATCTATATGTATCTATCTATCTTTCTCTCTCTCTCTCTCTCTCTCTATCCCTGAGTGTTGCTTCTCTTTTCAGTACAGAGAAAATAAAAGATTCCATATGCTAATCTTTTCTCACTATCCTTTATGTGCTGATCTTCAGGATAGAAGAAGTCATTGGGTTAAATTGGGCAAGACATCTAAAGCATAGTGCAGCTTACCACTAAGTTTTTAGCTGTTTGTGTTCTTGATTCAGAGCATGTACATACACCGTTTGTGTTCTGACTTCTAGGTGAATGAAGACTTTGGTTCAATTTTCTCAACGCTTCTACCAGGAGCCAAAGCTATGCTAGCAGCCTGTAAAACCCAGAATGTCTTGGATGGTCTGGAGTTCAGAGTCGCCTTGGGAAACACCTGGAAGGAAAACTTAACAGAACTTAGTGGAGGACAAAGGTTGGTGAACTTTGTGGGTTTTTTGTTCGTTTTCCATTGCAGTTGTGTATATAATTGATATGTCTAGCTAATTATAGTTCAGAAAAGCAAAAAATGAATCTTTTCCCTAGGCAAGTCAGGGACCCTGTCTCCTTCCAATCTGACTTAATAATGAAAGCATTATTAATTCAGTTCAGCTCAAAGAGGAATCCAACTTAGAACAGTGCATTCATCACTTGGCATATGATAACAAACAAGGTTTTACTCCATGGAGAAGTGACAAAAAAATGAATTGAGTGGTGAGAAAACTGCAGTTAACTCTAGGTAGTACTGAGATACAGCTGAATTAAATGCTCCAGCCTTTGAGTTGCATTCTCAAAAATCTATATAGACAAGTTCTGCCCCAGTGTCAAAGTAGTGTCATGGTGACAGTTTTCTTGTCCAGTGACTACAGCTCCTGTGTAGGGTGTGTGCTTCTTTGCAACTTCTAAGGAAAAATCTAACAAATTGAAAAGTAGAAACAGAATTTAGGAAGAGATGAGACAGAGATATACAACCTTCTGAAGGATAGAATGCTTCAAGAACTGTACGTTGAAAAACAGCACTGCAAAACTCTGAATTGAAAATAGGTAAAGCAACAGCATGGTTTTAAACATCATCACCCAACTAACCTGATCTTCTGATAAAAGAGTAAGTAACATTTGCCATTTCTGGCAGAAGGCTTCACATTTTGAAATCAGAAGTTGCGGCAGAAGCTGTCATTCTGTCTCTTCAGAACTCATAGCATGAATCTGCTGTTGAGAGAGCGTTTTGTTACTACCAAACAATTGTTTCCATAAGCCAAAGCCTCTCAAACAAGAGGGTAAAACATAACTTTGTTTTCTATAGATCATTGGTGGCCTTGTCCTTGATCTTAGCCATGCTTCTCTTCAAACCTGCCCCAATTTACATCTTGGATGAAGTGGATGCAGCCCTTGATCTCTCTCATACCCAGAATATTGGGCAGATGCTTCATACTCATTTCAGACGCTCCCAGGTACGATCTTGAAACTATTGGGATCATCTATTTACGCACTTCACTGTTTTCAGAGGCAGTCTGCCACTGAGGAGTTTCAGCTGTTCAAGTATTTTATTCCAGAGATGTGTGTTATATTTCTAAGTTGTTTCAACTGGAAGTTACACTGATGATATGGCAACTGTGAAACTTCCAAGCATTATGTTTTAATGTAAGCCGTTGCTGCAATGGCTAAAAACCAGGTAGTAATAGGGAAGCATATCTGTGATATGATCAATTTCAGGCATGACCCACATCCTGAAGGTTTTTTGGGGTTTTTTTTATTTGTGTTTTTTTCTGGAGTTCTTTAACCTGAGCTTTAAAAATATTTTATTTTTGACCCTGTTGAGCTAGTGGAAAGAATCTCTGTATCATGTATGAAAAAAATCTGCAGAACTGAAGAAACTTACTACTCCAAGTGAAAGGCAGTACCTCTCTCTATTAGGTGGTAGGACATCACCTTTCCAAATTATGAGAGAGAGGAGGGAAACATTTGTTACCAGTGTTGTAAAATAATTTGAGCAATATCTTCAGACTGTGAAAGATCCTGCATTCTTACAAATTCGTGGCAACATGTTTTCCAGAGGCACCATGAATGGGTGTTCTGTGTTGTGGCCTGTATCCCAGGCCAAGCTCTGGAGTATGGACAGAGCTGTACATCGTTAGCTGCAGAAAGCGCCTGGCCTGTGGGTGTACATTAACCTGCTTAGCACAGTCTGTTGGGCTTCAGTTATGTTTAGAGTATTTTTTGAAGAATTACTGCCAAGGTATTAGCCAAATAAAGTAAAAGGAACTCTCTTTTTAGAAGCCTTTTTCAACGTTGTTTAAAGTCTTTATTTGGATGGCGGCATTTACTTTTTCTGGTTTGTTTCAGTTTATTGTGGTGTCCTTGAAGGATGGGATGTTTAACAACGCAAATGTCCTCTACAAGACCAAGTTTGTGGATGGTGTATCCACTATTGCAAGATACGATCAGTTTCAAAGCAGAAAGAATCCACCTGCCCCAGAGAAAGGCGACAAAGTACATAAGAGTGACAAAAGAGGACCTGCAGAACCAGGAAACTTCTTCACTGGCCCTTGACGTGCTGGCCCTTAAGCGTGCTCTGTCCCAGTCTGTAGCTAGGCCAGGAAGAAACTCTCTAATTTTAACTTTTTTTTAAAAGAAGTATTTTTGATCTTGAAATATTCCTTTAGGTCTTAGCTTTTAGTTCACATCTGCACCTTCTTAAGAATTGAAGTTCACAGGAGACTGTTGCCTGTACTATTAGCTAAACTGGCCGCATTTATTCCTCTTGGTATCCCATAAGTAATTCCCATCGTCCCTGTGTAAGCATTTACACATAAACCTACATAAAGAGTAGCTCTGCAAGCTCAGGAGGAGGAGCTGAAGCCTTTGAATGAGGAAAATCTGATGTCACTTGCAGCATTTACGGCATTCAGAAAACCTGTTGCAAAGTGTAAATGCTGTCTCCTGTTGTCAGATGGCAGAGAAAAGTGGCATACCAATTTCTAAGCTATTTTAGTTGCTTTTTAAGGAGCAAGGCAATCACCAACAATTTTAACTCCCAAGTTATTCTTACAATTTTTGCAATTTGCTGTGCTGATTTTTACCAATAAATACTTAAACTACACAACCTGATTGTGTATGTGCTTTCCTTCCTTGCTGTTTTTCATTGACAGTACCTACTCAGCATTAAATGCTTTCTCAAATTTGAACTTCCTGCTGTATTTCTCAAAGTTTGATTATTTAATTCTGTACTCTTGTCCTGGTTCCGGCTGGGACAGAGTTAACTTTCTCCCCAGTAGCTTGGGGGGTGTGCTGTGTTTTGGATTTGGTAGGAGAGGAGCGTTGATGGCCCATTGATGCTTTGGCTGTTGCTGGGTGGTGCTTGCACCGGTGGGGAGCACAGCCGGGGTGGTGGACCCAGCTGGCCAGTGGGGTATTCTATGCCATGTGACATCATGCTCAGTATAAAAACCAGGTGGGGGGGGTAGCTCGCCCCCCCGTTCGTGACACACGGTCGGTGGTCGGTGAGCAGTTGCATTGTGCATCGCCTGCTTTGTATATTCTGTTATTGTTGTTGTTCTCACTGTTACTATTGCTGTTCTATTTTGTTTTATTTCAATTATTAAACTGTTTTTATCTCAACCCGGGAGTTTTCCTACTTGTGCCCTCCCAATTCTCTCCCCCATCCCACCGGAAGGGGGGTGAGTGAGCGGCTGCGTGGGGTTAAACCACGACAGTCCTTTTTGGCACCCAACGTGGGGCAGCGAAAGGTTGAGATAACAGATTAATTAGAGCGTATTAAGGAATTTGTATCTGTTAACACATTAATTTGTTCTGCACTGTACTCTTGTTTTTACTGTACCTGTTAAAG